TTGGCGTATGTATATTCTTTTCACTCATATCCCATAGTTTCAGCTCCAAATTTTATGAGATGGACAGTTTTAAATTCTACTGGTTTCAATCTTTCGATAAGGCCCGGATGTTTAAGTTGGCATATAAATTGAGCACTTTTAGTAATTAGGCATATTTCGCTTATATGCGTTTTATTTTTGTTTTGCAGTCCCAGCCCCAAATCATAAGACTATGTCTGACTACATGGAGGGACTGTTTAACCTGGAGCTGGAGAAAGGTGGACAGCCCGTAAGGAGGAAGTCCTCAATACGAGCAGAAGCGGTCAACCAGGCCAGTAATTCAGCTGTTTCAGATACTTCAGACAATAGGTAATGCATTCTAACAGTTATTTGACCTAATGTTAACTAATCCTTTTTATAATACACTTACCTAACGATCTAAAACACCATTCATTGACCGAAACTGTAGAGGGTTTCTCATTCTTATTGTTCGAGCTAATATCTATAACAGCAAAATAATCTCGTACTACTTGATAATGATTATATAACTGGGGTTAGAATATTAAGAACTAGATACGTTATAAGAACCAAGTTAAATAATATCTGATTATTCCGACCTTTGACATAAGTTTTGTTCCAACATCTGTATATAGATAAATTAGCGCGTGAATTGTTTCTCGGAGTTGAAGTATATTTCTTGATTATTTTTATACTAAAGTATTAAGTTAAAGAAACAACAAATATTTTGTGTGCACGATTGTCCGCTAGGTAAAAATGTACATCACATATAGGTCACACTAGAAGGAAAGAAGATAAAATGTGGACAACTTCTAGGAATAGGCTGTGCTTACATACATGATTGCTCTTAACAAGGTGGCCCGGCATGGCCAGGTGGTTAGGGCACATGCATCGCAGTCTGCGGGTCGCGAATTCGAATCCCCATCACACCAAACATGCTTGCTCTTTCAGCCGTGGGGGCGTTATAATGTACAGTCAATCCCACTATTCGTTGTTAAAAGAGTAGCCCAAGAGTTGGCGGTGGGTGGTGATGACTAGCTGCCTTCCCTCTGGTCTTACACTGATAAATTGGGACGGCTAGCGAAGATAGCCCTCGTGTAGCTTTGCGCGAAATTCATAACAAACCAAACCTTAACAAGGTAGAATACAAAAACATACACAATAAGATGGTTAATTCTTTTAAAAAAACATGCATATAAATATATACTTGTGCGTGTGTGTGTTTTATGTAAAAATACATAGCCATAATTGTGACTTTAACCTAAGGGCATCATATTTTGCATTCTGCTTAGATTTTAAACGCAATACGAAAAAAAAAAGGACAAACTTTCTTACACTGTATCGCTGTCTTTTACCTGGTGTGAAAAATCCCTGATGTTTTAAACTGCTTCAAAAAATTCAGCACTTTTATTAATTTAGGCGCATTTCATTATACACGCTTTGATTCTCAGTCCCGGTATAGAGCCATTTGGGTTTGGTTTTAACGTACTGTCAGAAACTGATGTGAATCTAATCTAGAAATTACTTTAACCTTTTATTGACCAGGTATTTTGTATTATATTACCAGAAACCAAGAAAATTTGACGAAATAATGTATACACAAATTTTCCGATTGATTAATTACATGTCCCCAGGTGGTGAGTGGTAAGTTTGCGGATTTACAACTCTGAATTCCTGTGTTCGATTCCCCGTGGTGGACAGAGCGCAGATAGTCACTTATGTAGCTTTGTGCTAAAGGAAACAAATGAAACCACTTGTTATATGTTTTGTTTAAAATATATATCACTGGATTTAGTGTGAAAAAATCCATACTAAAGTATGTTCATATGGATCAGGGGAATAGAAATAGTCAGCGTACCAAGTACGCCCCTATGGTAAGCAAGGTGTTAATAACTAACTGTTTTAAGTGTTTGTTTACTTAACTCAAATACGGTGACTTATGTGATGTTATCTTTATTAAGGGATGGAAGTGAGCTTCCAGTAAACAGTGCCTATTGTACCACGTCTGAAGTTAAACTCCTGATTCAACACAGCAAGGACACAGAACATGAAGACTGTACTAAACACAGTGAACTGTGTAACAAAAAGGTACACGGAAGTATTGTGGCCATTCTTCTCTGGAAACTAAATTCAGAAGTTTTCTAGTAGTTAACGTACCTGACTGTGAATCCGAGGATTTGTGACTCGCAAAAATTTGCGGCTGTAGGTGTATTATAAGAAAGACAGTCAAATCCCACTATTTGATTAGAATAGTTGACGATGGACGCTGTTGAGTAGTTGCCTTCCCACTAGTCTGTCTGTTAGCCCTTCTACATTTTGCGCAAATATCCGAAACAAGCAAAGTTTCACGACAAAAAAATAATAACAATCCAGCGCCCTCTTCTGTTGATTTCTACTTCAGAGTCTTCTATTATCAAAAAAAATAAAAACCTACATATTTAGAATCCACACGAGACAGCAGGTTAAATGTCTCCCTGTCGCTTTGTAGTATAGTGCTACATTTGACCGATATCAAACATTCGTTACTTAGTCGCGTAAAGTTATTTATCAGAGATAACACCAAAGGCCACCATATTTTGAGTGTGCATACGTGTCTTTCACAGTTAATTCTTTCGCTATTGTAGCATCAGTATCCTTTTTCTTTGAATATAAAAACACTACCGATATAACACCTTTCCATTCTATATAACTCTTGTAAAGTCCTGGCCCCCTCTACTGGCGGCGACAACTCATTCCATAAGCCAATCAGTGACCCTGTTAACAGAGGCGTCGCTGGGCGCCGGCTCACAGTGTTCGTACTCCGGATATGTGCCCTGAATCTATATGGCATTATAATTATATTTTACCTATTTTGATTAGTAGATGTATCTTGGGGGCCCAAGCCATAATTGTTTTTTCAGCGGCTAGCTACGCCCCTGTCTGTGAGACATAGAAAATTGTTTTAACTGGAGCCTATTCTATTTTACTAATTTTTAAACTTGAATCATCAAAAATAACGCTCAAAGAAATCCCAGGTGGATAAGGCGCTCGACTCACAATCTGAGGGTCGCGGGTTCGAATCCGCATCCCACCAAACATGCTCGCCCTTTCAGCTGTGGGGGCATTATAATGTGACGGTCAATCCCACTATTCGTTGGTAAAAGAGTAGCCCAAGAGTTGGCGGTGGGTGGTGATGACTAGCTGCTTTCCCTCTAGTCTTACACTGCTAAATTAGGGACGGCTAGCGCAGATAGCCCTCGTGTAGCTTTGCGCGAAATTCCAAAACAAACAAACTCAAAGAAATCCAAAAGCTTTATCTCATCCAATCTCCCGGATAACCGTGTAAATTATAACAAGGCCACCTCTTACCCCTTTTTCCCTTTAAGATAAAATAAGATATCTTAAACTATCCCTGTAAGATAACCCTTCTATTCTCGAAATTATCTTAGTATCCCACCTTTGTCCAACAAGTCAATATCTATTAATAAATGAGAACAAAACTGTACACAGTTCTGTAAGTGATTAGATAATTCTCTCTTTTGACTTATAATCGACGTGTCTATAAACTCGCCCTAAAATTTTGATATTTTCTTCTTGCAACAGGTCACTGTGGCGTTGACTTGAGTAAGTTATCTATCCCTATGCTAAAATTCTTTCTTCACTCGCGCAATTATGAAACGTGTAATCCAAATGCAACCGAAATGTATTACATTGAGCTTACTGTAATTAAATTAAATTTTTCCAAACATTTGTCCAACGTAGGAAGTGATCCAAATGATTCTGTAATATCTTACATCCTTAATTCAGCTATAAACACAAACGCCTCCCAGTGGCACAGCGATATGTCTGCGGACTTACAACGCTAGAAACATGGTTTCGATACCCGTGGTGGACAAAGCACAGATTGTTTAGCTTTGTGCTTAATTTCAAAACAAACACGTAAACACAAACTTTACTAATTATGCCCCTGTAAATACAATTAACGTCAAAAAGGGAAAAAGCAAAGACCCAAACACTAATTCCTGAGGCACTCCACGAGTAAGAAGCGTGATTTCCGTTATCTAACTACTAGTATTTATCCAGTCTCTATGCATGATTTTCTTAGCTAATCTTTGACATAGATCCTCATTAAAAGCTTTTTGAAAATCTTAAGTACGCGAATTCCACACCATTTCTTTCTCCCAGATAAAGCAACATCCTCGAAAAAAGTTAACAGATTACTAAGGCACAATTTCCCATGTTGGCTTTCTATTTTCACTAAATCATTTTGCTAAGCTTCTTTAATCACTCTGTCTAGAAATTTTTCCCGTTACAGAAGTAAGACTAAATTACCTATGATTTCTATGAAATAGTTATCACCCTCTTTAAAAAAATAAGAGTAAGATTAGCAACTTTACGATTTTCGGTCATCTTTTCACTGCGAAACGAAAGAAAGAGACTTTGACCTTCTTTACAAATCTTCATTTTTATTTATATGATGATGCACGCTTTTGATGATTTGTAACACTAGTATACATGTAACAGATTTGCCTTTCCGTCTTTTTGTAGTCAAATAGTAAAGAATAAGTTCTTAGTTAAATAAGTCTTTAAGACTGTTTAAATCTGTAGTTGATTAAAGATATAAACTAACGCTTCGAACTATCAACTTACTCTTTGATTCTGTAACTGATATCCAATTGATATCTATACAATATGACAAGCAAGAGCTATTTTGTGGACTTTTTGTAAGATATTTCTAGTGATCATTAAGATCTTGGCAGAAACTGGTTATAACAAGAAATTATCTACTTGTAAACTTTTTAGTTGGATGTTTTCTGATAATAATTAAAAAAATTAATGATTTTCTGTCATTATCGGATATTCATAATTTGGGGTTTGAATTTTTTTAAAATATCGAATGATGTGAAATTTTCAGGAAGAGTTAATAGCTAGTATTGACCGGAAATTGGAAGTTCTTCGATTAGAACATATTGCTCTTCGTGAAGAAATGGCCCAGAACGAGATTATTGGGAAGGAAGTGACGTCACGGGTGGAACAGCTGGCCAAATCCAATGAATTAGAAAAATACAAACTGCACGTGGAGGAGCTAGGGAAAATAATCAATTTACTGCTCTCACTATCGGGAAGGCTTGCACGATCTCAGAACGCCCTCTTGTGTTTACCTAAAGAATCTGGACAGGAAGAAAGGGTTAGTAATTTTTGGTAACATAAACAGTATAGTTATGTTTATATCTAACTGTGTGTTTAAACATTTTGTTGCAAAAGAAAAGTAAAACTTCATTAACCTTATGGCTGTGTCTCCTCGGTGTTTTTCTGGATCGTTGGCTTCTACGGTGCAACAGTAAACTGAATCTCAAATTCTAAAGATTGATACTTCCAAAATTTCCTGAATATGTTCTGTATATATTCACCTTTCTAAGAATGACATATCTTCAATCCTTCAGGCCACATTTAAAGAACGTGTTTTAATTTTTATGTACGTTGGAATTATATCATTCGGAATTGACTTCCGTTCCCAATCCATTCGCTCATTTCATGTTTAGCCCTTAACTGGTATTTTACGCTACGTCTTTTGCACGTATATTATTTTGTAAATTTTACAACACACTTTAATTTATAAAAGTAATACAATTGAACAAACAATGTATTTCGTAATCTATTATATAATCTACGTGTTTCGAGTAATTGGAGGACAGTTGCCCAATGTTTCATTTTCTTTATCCGAAAACTGCGTCTCGTTGAGTAGACTAGAATATTTTAAAAGTTATCGTCTTTATTTCTCCATAGCAAATCCTTCAAGCAAAGTGTGACAAATTAAGTAGACAACACGAAGAAGCTCGCCGGCTGAAAGAAAGTATTGACAAACGTAGCCACCAGGTGTCGACTTTTCTTCATCGCTATTTATCCAGTGAGGAGTACGCAGACTATGATTACTTCATTAAAATGAAATCCAAGCTGCTAATGGATGCTCGGGAGATAGGTGACAAGATTAAGCTTGGAGAAGAACAGCTAGCAGCGTTACACAATAACATGAACTTTCAGATTTGGAAACAAGCTCAGACAAAGACTCAAATCTCACCTTAAAGATTCATGATTGAGCCATCTCTTGTAATAAAGATTGTACAGTAGTGGTTGTACTATTTGGCTGTCATTCTGCCAAATATTAATGACCACGACGTCACCTGGTTAAATTTACTGACCATTATGGACATTTGTTGAGCACGATTTGTTGTTTTCGTGTGTTTTCCGATTGTTCTTTCTCATAAAAACACCTGGGCTATGGGTATTGAATATATGAACAGTTAAAATTTACATATTTTGGGTATTAGTTGCCCAATCTAAAAATGTAAGGTTTTTACACTATAGGTGATATAATTGGGTTAAGGAAAGGTGAAATGAATTTCAGTAGAATATATCATTACTGTTGTTAATTTATTCGTCTTTTTTTCATTGTTTACATAAAAAAAAAGAACCTCATCTTGGTCATCATATTGTTAATATCGATTATTGCCTGTTCGTCACTTGTTAAAACCAGTAACATAATCACACTTCACAAGAATGAGAAGTGGAAGGCCCTGATTTTGAAATATAATTTCTAGCCCCCTCAGAGTAGCAAAAACTATTGGGAGGTTGGGGAGGAAATTGAGTTAACAGGTTTTTCGGATAATAATGATTATCAGCTAGGTTTCGAGGGCCTTTGGTGACCATAAAAACAATCAGTATTTTTTGTAGAATGGTCGAGCCTAGCGTGCCAGTGAAGGCAAATTACATGGTCAGATAATGTTTTGTATGTAGCCAATGCTAATTCTTGATTCTGTTTTCTATGTTTATTTAGAAAAGTGAACGGTATTCCTCAGTTTCACAGTGTGCTATGTAAATAAAAGCAAGGTTAAGCAGCCCTACAAGGGACTTGTAATTTGTGATATATATATATATATATATATGCTTGTAGGAATAAATAAATGTTATCTTACTTGCTTTTGTGATTTTTGTTTTCCTCATCTTAGCTTGAAGATAAATGCATTTTGTTAGCTCTTTTAAATAGTTACTTTGCACAATTGTTACAGTTACCACGTATTTAACAAATACACAAGGGATGTATCCCTTTAGGTATGTTAATTTGTTGCATAATTTTAGTACATATATCCTACAGATAAAGTGTTAGCATATTATTGTTTTTTGAGAAACGACAAACTATAGAAGAGGTCCATCTGGTTATATACAAGTTTTCTCTTTAAACGTCGAACTTCCAACTACAGAATATGTTTATGGTAACAATAATATAGTTTCGTTTGAAGTTTACTTACTGATTATAAGTATTAATTGATTACAAGTTACAGCATTTACAGTAAGGAAGAATATTTTAAAACAGATACAACGTTTTGATCACTGATGCGATCATTCTCCAATACACAAGTTTTGAGGTTAAAGAAAATAAACCTTTCGAAAAAAGCTTGGATTTTATCAGTTTTTTTTAATGTAATTTTTAAGTTGGAAAACGTAGATGTATCTTATTATACAAAGGAAGTGCATTTGTTTTGACAATATATCTGTATGTTAATTGACAAACTCAGTTTTTTCTGCAAAATAATATTTATTCTGTTCTACGTTCTTTTCGGGTTCTTCAAAGAGATGGTTGTAATACAGTAACCCGTATCGCACCGTATATTAGTTGTCATCGGTTTGCTAATATTAATAGCATCTCAACCACTACTGTTTCTCATTCGTCTTGAAGATTTCTGGTATTGAGCGAAAGGCTTCGTCGGCACTGGATATAGCAGATATAGTGTGGTTCACATATTATTATACACCCATTCTTTATTTTCATTCGGAAGTTCTATTAATAATTACACGTGAGTGCCTAAATTACAACACATTCCTTTACTTTTATTTTTACGTGTACGAACTAAACACTCTGGCCTTTTTTGTTTTTGAATGAATAAACCGTAAAGTTTCACGACTTTCTTTACATTCGTTGTACAATTATATATTTATTTATAAAAGCCAAGTGTGGGTCGGTCACGCTCGATTTCTCCGACTTTCTTGAGTTACACGTGTCCAATTCCACCTTTTCTTCTATAATACTTCTTTTGATTGCCCTTCCATTTTTGTTTAGTTTAATCGCTAACATAGGCATAAGTAGCTCCTAAATTTTGGCACTTTTTCTGCTATATATAAGCCTATCAAGAAGGAAGTTCCCAAGATGAGATCAGGACTGGAATTATGTGTGGCACCACATCATTATGACGACAAGCTAGGTAGGATCCGAATAGGAAAGCTTGGAAGATTCCTATGAAAAAAAAAGTCAAAAATTAGCGCAAATCTTTGCTTGGGAATTATTACGAAAAAGCCTTTGTTAAGACAGGCTGAAGATACCAATTATCTGTAGGGAAGAGAACGATTTTTTCTCAGAAGAAAAACAGAAGTGTATGCAATCACATGGTCATCGTATGTTTTAATCTTTTGTCCAAAGGTACCAATATGTAGCATGTTTACACTCTTTAGGTAAAGGAGATATTACTCATGATAAGTTTTAGTTTTCCGAAGCTAGAAGGCCCTTTATTTTTTTTATGGCTGTTTTGCATATTGGAGGATTCAAATTTGGTAGGCTTTGGCTTCCTGTCATTTTTGACGGGTTTTATACTAGTGAAATAATAAAGCAAAATAACATTCTAGGAAAAACTGACATAAAAGCTAAATCCATTTCGTAGAGTTCACTTTTTATCATTTAGTTTATGAAAAGCTTTGAATTTTTCTGTCGATCTTGTAAGTGCATCTCATCTTGTTTTTTTTTTCTCTTCTAAAAAAAATCTGTGGTGTGCATCAAATCATTGTTGATTCTCAATAGATCTATGACCCACATTGTACTTTCAAATATGATAACATAAAAGTCGAAAATGAACAGTTTTAAACATAAATTTATTAATAAGAAACATTTGACATGATTAGTATATTTTGTCTATAAGGAACTCTTGATTTAAGAGTTTGTTAAAGAATATTGGGTAACAGGGTGTTGACCTACAGTGGAGCTGAACGCAAAGACAAAGCAGTCATGCACAAAATGGTTACAAAACTATTCCATTAGTTTATAATAAGAGAATCAAGCAGAAAGAAGTGTAATTTAAATTTTCAAGTCTCGGAAAAAATAAATGTTTTCTACACGCCAATCCAACTCTCAAAGATAAGGTGGGAAGGACTATGGCAAACAAAACCTTCTTCGCTTTTTACATTTGATCTTCATCCAGACTGCTATACTAATTTCAGGAATCTGATAAAAGATGGCGGTAAACTCGCTCCAATAAAAATGATAGCTCCACAATCTTAAAAGAACAAACAAAAAGAAACTGTGTGTGTGTATATACACACACACACACATTCATTTTTCTCAAGAGATGGCAGCACGATCTAAAGTTATAATTTATAACATATGCATTATGTGTTTCAAATACATGTACATTACTTTTACTAGTGAAATTAAATCTTAACAGATTGGAAATAAAAAAAAATACATTTATCTGCACAAAATACGTCAACCATTAAAAGAATAGTAAATGTATTATGTTTATAAAAGTATCTTTTAAAACTTATTAATGTTCACCTTTTAATTGTTCTACATGTTTTACTGACTCCTAAAATTTTGACTGAACATCACGAACTCATCCAAATATATATTTTAAAGTTATCACAAGAATAAATTCGTCTGCGTCATTATTTAAAAAGCTATGAGGCGAATATATATTGTTTTTTGACTTATTTCGATGCATTAAATAATGTTTTCATATCAAAATATTAAATTTAATTTTCTATATTCATCTTAAAGGCATATACATCATTGTGAGTGACACATTTTAAGTTATTTCATTTTAGATAAAGAAATATATGTGAGAGTAAATAAATAGTAATGTTTTAAGTACTTATAATAAGATTATGGTGGCTATCGGATACCTGTCATTTTAATGGTTTATACTACTGTATAATCGAAGTCTAAATATTAATTAGTAACTTTTTTATAACTAAATAGTAAATACTAACTAGATTTATCCTTTGGCTTGGTGATTAGGGCATGCTAATAACTGGACCACCACTTGGAGGCACATTTAAAGTTACTGGCTATTTGAAACAAATTAGCAAGTATATATTATATTAATTAATTTCTTATACTTATGAATATCCAGTAAATTAAAATATTTTATTCTGGAGAAAAAAATCAAATTCAGTGAAACTACTCTGACCTGATTCAGCAAGTCTATGCAACAACAACAAAATAAAAACAAGAGGGAATCCTCAATAGCCGCGGTACTTTAAATTCTTTTAGGCATGATTAGAGTGACTTTGGTCGTGGTCAAATACATCACTCGAAAGAGTTTGAAATCCTGGGCCTAAAACTGCAATTCAAAAGATGACGGAGCTTTGAGCTAAATGTTTGAACTTGAAAAAACTCATAACTGTTCTATGAGCCGCTATGCCGCAACTAGAAATCTAACAGTTAGTCCCGCGAAAACCCTATCTATAAACTGGTAGGAGGTACTGAAAAAAAAGAAGACAGGGATATTTACTATGATATAGTTGCTTTTCTTTTGTACTAAATATAGGAGTATCCTACAACAGCGATTTCATTACCGTTCAGACAAGTCTGGTATGGATAGTAGCTATACATGGTGGGATAGAGAGCGTTAAATTATTCGAGTTTCATATGTAGTGTCAATGCCTCCGCTATTCGACTATCTGTTAAAAAAAAAGAAATATCCCTGAAGTTCTCCATTCACTTTGAGGTTTTCATAGAATACCCAAGAAATAAAATATTTAAACTTCTCGCTTATTTCATTAGAGTCAAATCAAATAATGATTATTGTAATATTCTTCTGAAATATTTATCATTTGTTTTGAATATTCGCTCAAAGTACACTAAGCTATATGAACTAACCAACCTTAATTTTAAGTCTATAAACTAGAAGGAAAGCAGCTAATCAACAGCACCCACAGCCAACTCTTGGATTTTTTTTTATTATCGAATACTGAAATTTAACTGTCACTATAACGTGAAATGCGATTTTGCAGCATCGGAACGCGAATCTTGAATCTCTGGATTCACAATATGTCTCATTAAACATTAGGCTCCTCCTGACCTTTGTATTTGTCAAACAATTTTTTTCCGCATAAAATTCTAAATATTTATTAGAATAATATTTATAAAACTATATTATGAGAATTTATATCCCTTGTTTAAAAAATACAATAACAATTCCCCACTTTTAAAACGAAACATAAAATAAATACTAAAACTTGGTCTAAGTGGTTGATCATTTACTGAAATGTAATAGTAATTTCAACAACTTCCGATACAGGTACGAGTCGCGATGTTTACAAAAGTGTAAGAGCACATTTAATTTAGAAGAAGGACAGTCATATTCCAGAACTATCTTATGAGTCTCATGGGGGTGTTGAATGTGTGAATTTGTTAGTTTAGTACTCATAACAACGGTTGTTTTGTCATTAGCTAGTTTGTCTTACATATCCAGCAGTAAAGAATGAAAAAAACAACTAAAAATAACTTGCCAGATCATTTTACTTATTAACATATAAACTTACAGTTTAAATGCCGAAAGCCGGCAAAATATTGGAAAACCAACAGGCCTAAAAATTGTTTTAAACACAAGCTAACAATAGACCCCCCCTCAAATTTCTCTCATTTCGAGCCACAATAGACAAACTAATAGGAATATGGGGGGGGGGGATCTGCAGATAACTTGTGTTTAAAACAATATATATATATATATATATTTCTTATTTAATATGTGTGTTTGTTTTTATAGAAAAGTCACATCGGGCACTCTGTTGTGTCCACGGAGGGGAGTGGATCCCCTGATTCTCGCTTACCGGTGGACTTCATATTTAGTAAAAATATATATCCCATTTGTGAAAGTGTTTATATATTCACTTAAAAATGGAATATTGTAAAACATTTAAGTAATCTTGGACACATACTTAGTGATTAAAAAAAAAGGTAAAATTTTCTATTTCAGAACCCGAGGACAGTTGGCAATGAGAAAATTCACACCATAGACACGATCACACAGATACAAGTATATCTAGATCTGGTGGGAGCTTGGAATTAAAAATCTTATAACAATTTTGGAATAGTGAGTTTTATAAAACAGAATTTACCTTAATCTACTGGTGAATTAGGTTAAAAAATCTGTGAAACCATTTAAGTATTTCCGAGTAAGTTTTCGCAGAAGAACTCATAATGAGTAACTGACCCATGATAAGTAACTGAATAAAAAAGATGCGTATGCCTCACATTTTTAGCTGTTTATGATAAAAGGTTGTAGTAGCAGAATACATCTGTTTTTCTTTTGTAACACTATATAAGCAACATTCGAACAAAGTTATTCTGAATCTGTTGAATTATTAAGCTGATAATCTTTAATGTAGAGCTATAGATTCCGGAATCTATTAACTACTTGAAAAAGGAATTTATTAGCAAAATTGCAGTATTTTGATTTATTGGAATAAGAAAGTTTGTTGTATAACTGGATCTTTGGGTATTTGGGGAAAGGAAGGCTAGCTAATTTAAAAACCAGATAAAAATTAATAAATTTAGACTAATCTATTTAGGACATTATGAATAGAAATTTTGCAAATGACTATTTATTTAAAAACTATGGTAGAATGATAACACGGGCCACTTTTTAATTTTGTGAATTAGTTAGATTGAAAAAAAAAAGAGTTGAAATCACAAACACGAAAACAAAATTTAGTTAATCATCATAATTTAAAATGATGATTTAGTAACTTTCTCAAATTCAGAGATATTTTTCAGTTCTTAAAAAACTTAAGCCAACACTATATGCATTTTCTCAATTTCTTTGGAAAATTAAAATAATTTTTATTATATGCATAATATAGTTTTTTTAAAGATATCCTGTTATGTGTAATGGACATTAGATTGCTTTAAAATTGTGTAACTCTGAAATCCTTTATGGTAATTTCTTGCTGTTCAAGTCACGCCATTGACGTAAGCTAACTATACAATCGACCCTTTGTTTTCTAAGTGATATGTAGCAAGTGTGGCTTTTTGTTGTTGTTTGTTTGTTTCATCATATTTGTTCGTAAATTCAAATACAGTTTCATAACAACTAATGAAAATATTCATAATTAAAATCTATATCCTTTAAAACAATATCGATATTGTATGAATCGCGTAAACAAAGAAAGAGAATGAGAGAAAAACAGATGAATATATATATATATATATCATCCTTTCATTTTTCCGTGGAGAGCAAGTTAGTTATTCCCCTCTGGCAAACAGGACGAGCCAAGGTGGGGAAAACATCCACATTCCATTCTCTTGTTCATCCGGCTTTCATTGGCTGTCAGATAGTTTTTGATGACGTCATCCGAATGCAATTTCAGCCATAATAAGCTATCCAAGATGGTGAACGTTAGTGATAAGTTGTGTAGTGGTGGGTGAAACCTCGTAAATTTTTACTGGTATTTGCTTGAAATATGCCTGTTGGACGTAATGATGATATTCCCTTACCCGATGGATGGGATATAGGAAGGGACTATGATGGAAAAATTTATTTTATTGACCATATCAACCATCAAACTACATGGATAGATCCCAGAGACAGGTAAGCACAGTGGTTCCCGCATTTCTTAAGTATTGATATGCGAACCCACTTGGCCTAATCACACAAGTCACAAGCTAGTTGTAGTAATAGTATTTACTAGTAGTACTACTTTAAGTTTAGTTTAAGTACATGCTACTACTAGCTGTGGTTGTAATGTGGTGTGTTTTATCTCATAATCTTAGTAGCATTTTAAGGAAATTACAAAAATGTACAAGATTCTCATAATTAGAAAATTAACTTTAATTTTCAAACAACTTTAGATTGACACTTTAATTTATGAAACTAAACGTTTAATTTCTAAAGCAGATTTAACAATTTCAGTATTTTTTAACTACCACTACCGCAATAGTAGTACTGTTACACAGCTTATTACTAATGGATAATAAGATAATTTGTAAATCGTAGGTCCAACAGTAACAAGCCAAGCCACATGCCAATGGGAGGGTGTAATACGTGAAGGGAAAAGAATGGGGTTGCTTCATTCACTAAGCTTGCAAACCACTATATGACCTTGCAAACTCGGTGTTCTAGTTCAACCATTTTCCAAGAAAACGTGATTTATTTCCTTCTTTCTTTTGATAAGGTATTTTAATCTTTCTATGGTAACTTATGATACTTTGAAAATTAAAAATAACAAAAATTGGGTATTTAGCACCTTTTAAATATTTATTTGATTCTTATTCATGATTTATTGATAACTGGGGCAGATTGTTCAAATTTCAGTCAAATTTTATGTAAGGAATCAAGTTTATAGTTCCTATCTTTTCTACCGAACAAAAATATTAAGATAAACCTCTGAAAATTTTTCTAGAATTGAAATGCATGATTTTGTAAAATTTTCACATGCTCTGACTAATATACTTTAGTATTAGCATTTTTGGATCAATATAAATAGTGTCACGTTTTGTCACTATAGCATAAAAGATAAAACAATAGGTGAAGAGAGCCAATCAGCCCATTGGAGTCACCCAATAAAGAAAACCAGTCCACCCTAAATGCAAACCCTCACATTATTGAAATTATACAACATAATCTTAAAATAATTCAAACTACCAGCACACACTCCACATCACCTGAAATAACACAAGTTATAATAGGAAAATAGTATACCTTATAAGGAACAACAAGAGACAATTTGGTCCTTCAAGAACAACCAACTCCAAGAAAAATAAAAGTAAAAAATTAAATCCAGTCTTTATTTTTCAATAAATCATTCATAGTATTACCAGATTTTAAGAGTGAAAAACTGTGACACATCTTGTTTCTGTATGTTGTGACATTGTAACAGCCCTGAAACAGGTTAACTTACAGTAGCCTACTTTTTACCATTTGCTTAATAATCTTAATGCAAAATTTGTTAATTTATCTGGTTAAAAAATTGTAAATAAAATACACAACTAAGCTGTCTTGATTATACTAAAAAGAAAAATGTTGTTTCTTAGTTTTATTTTTCACTGCTGGGCATCTCTTCAGATCTCGGTTCCTGCAGCCGGCCAATGGCAAATTAGGTTAAGAAAATGGGTGATCTGTTTTTTTTTCAGGTGAATCTTCAAGTAAAATTTAAGAGAGCTATGTATAATGATAAACCTTGCATATCAAATTCACATTGATGTACAGAGAAACTTGGAAATTATAATACTTTTACAGCTTCTGATCGAGAGAAAAATAACTAAAAACTGGGATGTGTGATAACCATAATCATTGATTCCCATCATAAAGTCTTTTTTTTTACCAGCCTCGAATACTGCCAATGGCATTTCCTTTCATAACTTAATCACCTTGTTAGAAAAAAGTGTAATTGTTTTAACTGAAGCCTAGCCTATCATTTCCAAATATTAAGATTTTGTCCTCTTTTCTTTAGTATTCAGAACAAAGAAATCAGAAGCCTTAAATCCTGTTGATCCTCTGGATTATTTTGAAAACTCTTATCCTTCTTTTCTTAAGAGAAAATAAATTAAGGAATCTAGTTAGTGATTTATATATATAGAGAGAATTACCACTTTTGATTTGTAATAAGTATGTCTATAAATACACTTTCAAATTGTATTAGCTTTACTTATTGCTTGACATTGGACTCCATTTGTTTACCAGCAACAGAAATCAAATTAATTGACCTGAAATTTCCTTCATCTTCCTCAGATTCCCTCTTTAAAAAATAGGTATTACATAGGCTTCCTTTCAGTCGCTACAACTTTTTTCCTTTGTGTTTTAAAGGCTTCTGGAAGATTTTAGTTAAAACCCCATAAGCTCATTATTTAGCTTCTTTTAAAACCTTAGGATAATATTTCAGCTGGGTCAGAAGCTGTATTATAAATGTAGTTTCTAAGCTTTTTCACTGTAGGTTTCTCATTATAATCATCTTTACTAGAGATGTTAATATAAAGTTATGCTTCAACCATGAATTTCTCCTCAACAGAGGTTCCCATTTAAATATTCTAAGAGGTCTAATATTTTTTTGACTTTTAACCTTGTCAAACTACTGCTAAAGTATTGCTACATGGAGGTGAAAAAATTTATATTATCTATTCATGATGTACAAGGATTTAGAAGACCTATATAATAGAACCTACACTGTATAACAAAGGTCAAAGTGACCAAAGAACATTTGCCCTATGAAAGTCATCTACCAAAACAACTAATTAAAGCACCAAATCCAAACCAAATGTATTATTTCATAATTGTATAACCATTCAACAAATATCTAAAAGAATTTAAACTGCCACCAAATATAATATAAGCAGACAAACCATTTGGCAAGTTTCTAACTTTAACAGGAAAATAATTTTACCATAGAATAATTTTGGATATAGGCTTCCCCAATTACAATGTAGTACCCAGAATTTAAATGATTCAGATCTTTTTGTTTCCCCACTGAAATTGACCTTATACATTGTAGACATATCATTTGTTGAATTAAATCAATTATAATTTTCTGCTCACCAGAAAAAATTGATCTGTTCTTATAGCTCACATTCTTTAAATATCGAAAGAACAAATAAAGACTTAGTATTATGATAAAAACAAACATGCGTAGCATCATCAAATAAATTATTTCTCAAGTTTTTATCGTTCTAACTGAAAAAACTTTTGTAGAAGAACAATTTTGCATCTGAATTTTCAAAATGTAAATCTTTTACTCTTAATATTCAGATTTGTATTTTACAATATTCTAGCCTTTTCACCTTGATATCTTTCATATATTAAGGAGACCAAAGTGTATATTACCTCTCCAAATGATGCCTTACCAGTGTCTTGTGCATATCTATAAAAACCTTTTTACTCCTAAATTAATTTCTGTATAAATTTCTCGGAACTCCATTTGTTCTTTCATCAGAACTGAAACTGTACAGAAGACTTCAAGCTTTTCTCAACACTTAAACCTGTGCTGTTCACCTTTTTTGTTTTTAAGAACATCATTGTTCCTTTCATACACTGAATCCTTTCCATATTTCTGTACTTTCACGTGCATTACATTTACACATTCTGCTGCCGATTGTTCTGTGAGAAAATTTAGTTAATTGTTATTCAGATGTGGGGTGTAATGGATTTACCAAGAAAGCAAATGGTATTGATGTAAATATTTGTAAGGTATAAAGTCACCTGAATGATGCAAAGAAAACTGAGTACTTGATTGATCTTAAGAGGTATTATTTTTCTTTTATAGAAATTTTTATTTAGTCTCTTCTAGATCATCATGTTATTTGTGTATAGGCTCCTTACCACATAAAGAATATAGAATGTTTTAGAAATAAAATACCGGAATTTTGTTTTGGCTAAAAGCAGTAAGTTATTGGAACTTGACTCAAGTACTTGATTTGATTTTAGTTGTTCAGTTAACATAACATATGGAAAACAAGGGATCATTTTGTTCTTCAGTTCTCTTCCTTTACACCCACTCCTAAACCCTTCCTGTATTTTTCATGAAATCAGCAGTTCCTTTCTTAAACACTCACTCTTAAGATGTTGGCTTCCATTACTTACAACAGAAGCTCATTTCATTAGCAAATTGCCTGTACTCTTCAACGGAGACTAGCCTGTTTTCCAAATCTTCAACTTGTGTTCTCTCATCCTTATTTATTCAGGATACAGAATTAAAAAAATAGAGGCCTTTATCAAATTGATCGCTTAAATAATCATGTAAATTTCAAAAATATTACCTCATGTTATTCTCATCTGAAGGGAAAGTAAGTTATGGATGTAATCTATTACCATAATATAATCATTCCATCTACATTAAATGTATTATCCAAATTATGATAACCCAAATTCATTACCTTGGTTTTATTATAATTAAAAGTTGTTTTCCAATTATTTGTTTGATTCACCAATTGATCCAAGCCATTCTGTAGTACTTCAACATCCTCAAGGTAGTGGACAATCTACATTTAGATAATGTGTTTGTTTTCATGAATAATCCAAATTTTAGAAGTAATTACTACAAACTTGTACTGCTTAGATGTATGCTTATGCTCAGTACAAAAGAATATAAAGGAAAACAAAGTATGAAAAAGCTAATCAGCTTATCAAGATCATTCCTTGTTTAAGATAAAAAAAAACAGTCCAGATTAAATAAAGCCCTTCACATCCCTCTATCTACCCAGTAAAAAGAAAAATAATTCAAATTAATTACATGTATGGTATCATTAAGCATCTCATCCCTCCAGTAAATAACTGAAAACAGTAAATAAATTCCGTCACTGAAGCTTTCTGAATATGGCATACATTTAGATAGCTAACTTGTTGTAATGGTTTTTCCCAGTGGTGGTGGCACATGCAGCTGTGATTCATTTAAAACTTTTTCCTTTAGTTAAGGAGTATTATAGTTGATATTATTGGACTTACTGAACCTCTGTCATTCACTTGTTTGTGTATATCTATTATTTCCTTGTCTAAAAGGGTAAATAGCCATATAATGTTTCAGAATATTATTTTTTCATACCGTATAGATATGACGGAAAAGTTTGACAGTTTTGGATGAGTAGAAGGGCTTTCTAACAAAA